ACTCAAACTGCATGACCTTTCCCCTTTCCAATGAAGAAAAATAGAACCACTCAAACTGCATGACCTTTCCCCTTTCCAATGAAGAAAACAGAACCACTCAAACTACATTGCCTTCCCCTTTCCATTGAAGAAAGATAGAACCACTCAAACTACATGACCTTTCCCCTTTCCATTGAAGAAAGATAGAACCACTCAAACTACATGACCTTTCCCCTTTCCAATGAAGAAAAATAGAACCACTCAAACTGCATGACCTTTCCCCTTTCCAATGAAGAAAACAGAACCACTCAAACTACATGAACTTTCCCCTTTTCGATGAAGAAACAGAAGAGTTTATGAAAAACAAAGACTGTATTCAAAAGTTTGTATAGCAAGGACTTTGTTATAAATATTAGACTAACTTTAATGTCTCCCTTTCTTAATTATAAATATTAGACTAACTTTAATGTCTCCCTTTCTTAATTATAAATATTAGACTAACTTTAATGTCTCCCTTTCTTAATTATAAATATTAGACTAACTTTAATGTCTCCCTTTCTTAATTATAAATATTATACTAACTGTAATATCTCCCTTTCTTAATTATAAATATTAGACTAACTTTAATGTCTCCCTTTCCTAATTATCCAAGCTACAATAACGCATCTAGTACTACTACTTATATTCTCCACCACCCTTCATGGTCTAGGTTAATGTGCTAGATACATAGGTTTTGACTCCACCAAATAAACTAACCCTATATGTACATGTACAATATTCATTATGTAGTACATTAAGTTTATAAATCTCAAGATATAATATCTTAATCAAGTAAGCATCAAGTTAGAATGTACAGCCTACAGCATTGAAATGTGTTAGATGTTCATCAGCTGATTTGGTCTTACTTTTCAAACTTTGCAGAAAGTAAACATACAATTTCAGCATCAACATAAATCAAGTAACCACCTCACAGACTCCATGGTAATGAATAAATATCAAGAGATCACTTGTTTTTTGTCTGGCTAGCAGTCATCAGCTTCTTGAACACACAAATCTTCACACAGTCAACATTTAGGTAACTTGTGACCCCTCCATCTTTTCTTCCCACAGTGGAATGACAAACTGAATTTTATTTCAATTAATGTGTAGTTCTGCCTTCTATTCATAATGCATAACAACTTTTTGATGTTATCCTAAATTCATTCTCGTTGTTTCAAATAGTCAGAATTGGAAAAAATGTCAAACTAGTCACGAAGTAAACAGAAAAACTAGATACTGCAACATACAAGGTTTGAAACACTACACAAACTGCACTAGTGCCATTATCATATTAATTATTCGTGTTTGTTGTTAAGCAAAAAGTTACCCATTACGAGTTATCATTACAAGTCCCCTGACTTATACCTGAGTCTTCAGGGCATCATTTTACAATTTCTATTAAAATATATGAGAAAAATATATATTATGTATACAGCCTGAGAAAGCTTAGAATATTTCTTATGAAATGTAATATCTGTATTATCTACTATAAAAAATTCTACCTCTTAAATACCATACAGCTTTTGTTCTCGAACGAGTAGGATTTTCATGTCATTAAGCACACACTCAAGTCTTAATACTCGCAAATATTAGATTCTCTGTTCCACTCTTTGGGGGACGTATTGGTAAATAAGTTTTCTACTCAAAACTATGATCATCATGAAACTATTTTCTTAAATGACACAGAATACTTTAATTTTTTCAAAAGTAGTTGAGCATTAGGAACATTAGAATAACTATTATATGTTTGAAAGTAGAAATTCACTTTTAATATGAATCAGTCAAAAATCAGTTGCATTTAAACTTTCGGTTTTTCATACATTTTTTTTCTTTACTTAATGGTCTCCGTATATGTTTTATAAGTTTTTGTTTTCTCAGTGCAAAGCTAGTCAATGGGCTATCTGCACTCTGTCCACCGTGAAGAATCAAACCCCTAATGTGAGCATTATATCCGTAAACACACCGCTGCCTTCCCTGAGGAAATATAAGCATTATAAATACAAGAAAATATTTTATTAAATACATTCATCATAACAACTTTGTCTTACTTACTTCTACATTTTAAGTTCCTAATGCAAATAAAGCTGAGTTGTCACGCTGTGCTGTAATATTCAGTTGATTTGTTACACAATCTGTACGAGTTATATTTTTACATAAAACTTCAGTTGTGATATACCAATATTACTCTAACTTAGTAAAGTACCAGTTCAGTGAGTTTTGAAGCACAACAATCAGTTAAGTTTTTCTTTAGTTTTCATATAAAAATAACTTGATTACCTATAATATGAATAATACTAGACCTATATTAAGTAAGAACTCCATCAGACTTAAGTATTCACAATTTTGACAATTTCAACTTCTACGCTTCCTTGTAGAATATCCAAGTCTTTCATATTTTTCAATTCTCAAAAGTTAAGATAATTCTGAAGAAATAATTCTAATTTCAAGAATTGCATTAATATTATGATGTGTCTCCTTATTTGCACTACTTATTGTAATAAAGGTTTTTAAATTGAAATGACTAGACAAATTATAAAAATATTTTCAGTAAAATCATAAATACAATATTTGCTTAATTAAGGAATTTCCACTTATAACATTCGCCATTTTAAAATACAGCGATACTTGATACATTCTTTATTTCCAAGAAATAGAACATTTTTTGGAATGTGATTTATGAATCAGCACAGTTTTATTTGTTGTAAAGAACAAAGCAACACAATGTGTTATTTGTGCTCTGCCTACCACAGGTACGTAAACCCTATTTTATGTGTTAAAAGCCCATTGAAAGGTGAGGGACAGCATAAAAGTCTCACATGCGTTGATACATAAGCCATCTAGTGACAAACTAAGGAATTAAAATGGAGTTTCCTTTGTTTTTTTCTTGATGTTACCATCATTTACTTGAGTTAACTATTCACTACATAGTATAGCTAAAAGGATTTAATACAAAAAAAAACAACAGAACCACTGGATTTTTAAATAATGTGATATTTTGTTACAAGTCTATTTAAAAAACAAGGCAGTTTTAACTAGGTATATCACCAGATGTTCAATGTAGTAAACATTTAAAAATGTGCAAAAAAATTCCAGACACCAAGTGAATATCAAACCATTTACTCCTTTAACTTGAACCTCTGAACAAAGTTAGCTACATTGCATATTCTTTCCACCTTTACGTTTCCTTTATTATCTACTGTTTACAACATTTAAAATTGCAAATTCTGTCTGATCATCTGTATTAACTACATTTCTTTCCTACTGTCAAGTTCAACTGTGCTTGATAATATTTAAATTGCTTCTTTAATAAGCTGATTATAAGTCTTTATCTTCGTTGCCATTGACATATCAACATATTTGTCACCAATACTGACAATCATTCCTCCAATGATAGAAGGATCAACCTAGAAAGAAAAATTCTCACATTAAATATTGTTAAATGTTTGAAACTGAAAACAAAACCTCTGCAAAAAACATGCAGCAAAACAAGCTGTAAGTTTGTTTGTTTTCTTCTTTTTAGGTGAAAAATTCGAAAATGTTCATGGAGTGAAATAATTTTCAATCTCAAAACTGAAAGGAAATTTTGGAAATCCACTATTTTATTTTGCATTCTGAAATTGACACAACAGACATAAAAATTCTGCAGTGTGGTTTTTGAATGCTTTAACCATGCATATTGATTTATTACTCAAAAAGGCAGTTTAGGAAGTTTTACTGTAGGCAGTAAGATACACTTCACAGTGACACAGTCTTCAACAACACAAATGTTTAAGATTAAACATTCAAGATAAATAAAAACACAAAACAAAAATTATTAAATGGGGTATAAGTATGTATGAACATGATTGACAAATTTCAGAGATTTAGCAAAATATTTAGAAATACCACCATAATCTTAAAATAATATTAGGAGAAACTTTCTCCAAAATACATTTAAGCTAAGAAAACAATAACACAATATTACAATTCAAAATATAAGTTATTTGGTTAAGCAGTAAATTAAGTACTTTTTCAAAAGTAAACACAAATAATAAGTAGATCAAGCACAAAAAAAATCATATTTGGCAATTTCTACAACTTGAAAACTATAACTTGACATTAACATTAACGGTGTTTATAATTAAACATAGCATAATTAAATCTCATCTAACTTTTTAAACAGTATGGACAGAAATATAAACTTTTATATTTATCTAATACTGATGGATATTGCATTACCAAACACACAAACATATGCATGCACACACACAGTTTTAAAATATTTCATAACTTCTCATCTCTAGTACTCATTAACAACAAAATATTCAAACATTTTTTACACCAGGGGTTACTTTGCTAATTTAAAAAGCTGACCAAAATGACAAGTAAAATAAACTCAACACTCTGGTTTTGTTCCTTTCAAGCTGGCATTTTTAAATCAAATTGTTTGTGAACTTAAGTACCTTTGTCTGCATCAGAAGTGTCTCCCCTTTCTTCAGAAATCCTTGTAAAGCTGTCTCTAAGTCCTTTGATGTTGCAGTATCCAAAGGCTGACAAATATTTCAGTAAATATAAACAGTCATACACAATAGAATATTTAAAAAACGAAAAATAGCATTTATTTACACATACATAAAAATGCATTTAGTTATTCAGCTTAAAAATCCTGTTAACCCTATATGCATGAGAGATCAGTCCATTGAACCAGTTCATATCAGAGAAGTAATGTTTACTATAACTTACCAGCTTTCTAACTGATCTATTAAAATGTTATTACTTACTGAAGCACTGACTTTGGCCTTCACTCAATAATATCTGCTTAGGAAATGGTTCCTTTTACCAAAATAAATTAACAGACATCATAATCATATTGAAGGTGCAGTGATATTACACTAATATTTTAATCTAGTTTTGTCAACCTTTGCTATTCTGTAAAAGGTTGATATGGACAATATCCCTCAAAACTACATCTATTTTAGTCTTCAACATTAAATAATCATTACGTTAGTTTACTGTCAGGATTTTTTGTATGGACCAGATTCTTTACAGTATGTGTCTGTGACTTGTTGGCAATAAATTTCAACAATAAACAAACAGTACTCAGTCCATTTGTTCTAAAACAATATAGTAAAACAAGACAAATTTATATACAAATGTTCGTTATCACAGTTGTATCCAGAGCTTTAAATAATTGTCTCTTTTTCATCAAAGTCTACACAGGTCGGTTCAGTTACTTTAAAACACAGTTTGACAAGACAAATTATTCTTCCTGCTCTGTAATTACAATACAATCTGTGATAATTTCACTTTAAAAATCACCGCTATATGCTCTTTATGATTAAACTCACAATCACACAGTCTACATCTATCTAACTCGAACTACATTTTGGACGTGTATTTATAGCCTGACACAGGTCTAGAATGTTGCACACACTAAAAGCTATTAGGATGTAATAACAAACAGTTAAAACAATGAGAAAACTTAGAAGGTTCTAGTAATATGATGCAATAATACAACTGAACTACACAACCTATAATTCATAAACAGTTATATAACCAAACATGCAATAAACTATCGCTTCTGAAAATAACTAAATTTAACATTCACACTATACTTAAATGAAAACAGTCATGTATATCTAAGATTTACAGTGATCTACATCATCAAATATAACATTTGAAATAAACAGACCATCACTGTAAAATGTAAGAGAGACCAGTATGGCTTTGCAAGGAGATCTTCATACTTATTAAATGATTCATTCAGCTTTTTAAAAATTAACATTTGATTATCAAAATGAAGTTAAAAGATATTTTCTTCTCTACTAGCTTGATCAGAATAAAATAAATTAGACCATATCCTGTCATATTTATTAGGCCACAAAAAAGAAAATGGGCCTTTTTTTTTAACCAGTGCTCTCTAACAGATTTGGCAAGTCAATCAGGGCAAAATATCTATACAATGAAATTTAGTCAAATTTTCTTTTTTTGCTGGAAGAAGGAGGGTGGTAATTCATTTTGATAGTGGTATCTCTTTGAACTTAAATTACTTTTAAAATGGACTAGCATCCCCACACTGGGAGAGGTGATACCTAAGAAAGTTGAGAGACACCTGTTACTCATAAGGAAGAAAATTTCTTACTTAAGAAAAAAAAATTGTGTATGGTTCAAAAGCAACATGCAGGCTGAGAGCTGACTCGGGCAATGTAAAACCCATATACATGGACAGTGACATTACAGTGACCTGTCCAAATGTTAGAGATCATCAGAAGTAAAACTAAAAAAATCCATTACATTCCCACTAAGGTGTTTCAGGGAGGATGTGTGTAACACCTTAATAACATACCACTCCACTTATCCACCTGAACAGATGGCACCCAACTCAATAAAAAATGAGTTATTAACTAGTTACACTGGAAAGTGTTTAAGGGATGTGCCAACTCTGCTTTGGAATCAAGCTGAACACCTTACCGAGTAGTGCAGAGATATAGAAAATCATCCTAACTATAAGTGAGACTGAGTGGTAATATGAATCACCAAACCCAGGCTAGTAAAGGAAACAAAAGGTATTTCTACACTTGGTTCCAAGGCACGGTCTTTCTCAAAAGATTTTCAAATACAAGACAATTGTTAAGAGTGGTGAAAACACCTATTTATCACAACAACAGAAAGTAGTATTAGTTAACTTCTGAAGAGACATGAATATGATGAAGATAATTCATGAAATTGATAGAAGACTTGCATATCCATACTCTAAGCAAATCTTCAAGAATTCTTAGCATTTGCAGCAAAAGTAACCATACGATGGCAAATTTGATTTACAGAAATCTGGAATCTCTGACTGAGGTTATGCAAACATAATAACCAACTCAGATGTATTCTTTGGAAATACTCAGTTGTTAAACATTCATCTAGTATCAAATAACACTGAACTTAGAAACAAACTTTAGGAAACTCTGAACATACTCTAAAGAGAGAATATATTGAAGGACTTCTAGCCCACTGCTATTATCACCAAAATCAAAATATTCTAATATTCCATTGTAAAACAGTTCACAATTCTCAAAGAACAACCCCCCAGAAACTCGAATAAAATCTGCAAGTCTGAAAACAAAAGCAGTGAGAGCCGAGAAGATCTTATCTTCACATTCACAGGATTCCCATGTTCTTTTTCTTGGCTAAATCAAACTCAGAATTCATAAAAATTACTGAAGGGAGAAAATGTAAACATCAAAATACTCAAAATGTTAACACTCAAAACCAGTCACAGATTAGAAAATGCACTTAAGAAAGCAACAAGATACAAAGTGACTAGATGCAATTATAGAAGTGCTGCTTTGATGTGAACAAGGACTACACTATGTACTGTCACTGACTGACTTATTTTTCCTGTCCATAGAAGGCATTACAATAAAACATACATATAACAAAACACTGCAATATTTCTATTTATTCTCTTCTTTCATAATTTCTTTAACCAGTTTTGTGACTTCAAAGGTCACTCTTCAGGATACAATTTTACAGAGAATCCATAATAAAAACATTCAAATATCATTTTTCAACTAAACATAAATAACCTAAATAGATAGAGATAAGAGGATAAAAGTAGCAGTAGTCATGTAAAGCTATTTAAAATTATGAAACCATAAAAACTATTACTAAGAATCACAAAAAGGACAATGAAGTAAGAAATTTATTTTGTATTAAATCATTAAAGTTTATAGAAATAAAGTGTTTTTCTATAATAACTACAAATAATATAATTAAAATAGAATTTAATCAAAATAAAAAAGATAAAGCAATAGAAAGAAAAATATATTTGACAAGTTTAAACTAATTTATTTTTGAATGTATTCTAATCTGCTTAATTTATAGAATAATAGTATTTTATGTTTCCACATTTTCAAAAAATATATTTCACTTAGATTATTCTGTTCGGCTGAAAAATGATAATCAAATGTTTTTATTACAGAAACTCTGTAAAATTATATCATGAAGAACTACCTTCAAAGTCATGAAATCAGTAGAAGAAATTGAGAAAGAAGAGAAAAACAGAAGAGTCTTAAGTATTTTACTGGTTTGTTACTTGTATCCACAGGTGAAAATTTGTGTTTTGATTACATATATATATAAATCAGTTCTCATTTTGTTTTATAGGAATAGCAACAAATAAGGCCTAGTTTGGTGTTTTTTTGCCCAAAGAATATTACAGCTTTGAGTTATGACAGAAGTATACTACTGTATTTGAAGACTCACTTTTGCAGTAATTACTTCACAGGCGACTTCTCCTCGTTGAGCACTCATAATTCGGCTAAAAGAATTGATAACAGAATCAAGCTTATTCAAACGGCGATTTTCAGCCATGGCACCTATAAAAATTCCAAATGAAATTATGTAATTTGCTATTCTTATACTGGTTACAAAAAATTAGCAAAGTTACTTTTCAACCACATATTTATATTAATCAGTTATTAATCAAACCACGATTACTGAATACTACTAATACATGGCACTCCTTTTTTTATGGAGCCACTAAAGTTTTGATATAGAAGATAAGTCATTTATGTATAACTGAGTGACAAAGGATTAAAAGAAATAACTGTACAAACTCTAATGTTCATTAAGAGCTGAAAGTTTTGAAATGGTCATTTTAGTTTAAAAATAAATAATTTTAACTTTACTAAGAATGATCTAAAGTTATTTTAAAGTATGTGACAATTCATGAGAGTTTACCACATGAAGAAGTGAGGCAATTAAAGTATGTGACAATTCATTAGAGTTTACCACATGAAGAAGTGAGGCAATTAAAGTATGTGACAATTCATGAGAGTTTACCACATGAAGAAGTGAGGCAATTAAAGTATGTGACTATTCATGAGTACGTTTATCACATAGAAGAAGTGAGGACTAATTAAGTATGTAGACTATTCGTAAGAGTTTACCACATGAAGAAGTAGAGGCAATTAAAGTATAGT